GTATCAACATAACTTTCATATGCATACGAAACCAAAAAATGTGTGTGACTCACTTTATTGCAATGTTTGTTTTATTATGGTGGTCTGGAACCAAATCCGCAATATCTCCAAGGTATGCCTGTATATGTACATCTATCGTTGGTATGTAGTAGTATTGATAGTTTCTGATTCATTTGACATTAGCAGTTCTGTTTCCTAGCCCTCAGGTAATTAAGGCATCTTTTCTGAGGCCAACTGTATAAACATTCTTAACGAACACTAACGATTCTTTATCTAGTTTAGAAGTTCTGATTTTTGTCATCTTTGTTACTTGAACAGTAATAATTTTTTTTAATTTTTATTGTGATTTGAGTGAAAGTTGACAGAGCAAATTCATTTTCCATACAGCAGTTCTTACACATTTTGTTTCACGACATTGACTGCAATCCCCACAATGCAACAGTTCTTTTCCCACTTACTCCCTGTAGTTTCCTCTCCCCTGTGTTCTTCTTTCCTATGCATTCCTGCCCCTTGAGCTATCTTCCTGTGCAAATACTGCCCTTCTGTACTCCCATGATTGATTGTTCTAAGGCATGTACCTACCTGGTATACATGTTCACCCCATATGCCTCTCTTTGTTTGGCTAGAAGCCACAGGAGTGAGTTCCAGGCCTGAAGGGTAACAGTAATAATTTAACAACAAAAACAACAAAAAAGCAGAATGGTTTTCTTTGTTATTGTTGTTAGGTGCTTTTGAGTCATCTCCGACTCATAGTGACCTCATGTACAACAAAACGGAACACTGCTTGGTCCTGTGACAGCCTCATGATCCTAGCTATACTTGAGCCAATCATTGCAGTCACTGTGTCAATTCATCTAGTTGAGGGCCTTCTCCTTTTTTGTTGACCCTCCACTTTACCAAGCATCATATCCTTCTCCAGAGAATGGTCCCTTCTTACAACATGACCAAAGTAGGTGAGACAAAGTCTGGCCATTCTCGCTTCCAAGGAGCATCCCAGCTACACTTCTTCCAGGACAGATTTGTTAGTTCTTTTAGCAGTCCACAGTACTTTCAGCATTTTTCGCCAGCCCCACAACTCAAGAGCATCGACTCTTTTACAATCTTCCTTAATCATTGTCCAGCTCTCACATACATATGAGGTGATTGAAAATACCATGGCTTGGGTTAGGCACACCTTAGTCTTCAAAGAGATAGTT